CCAGCTAGCACCTGTGGCTAGTAGTATCATTTTCTGTGTCTGTTAGTTCATTTTTTAGCTATTTCATTTGCTAATTAAATTTTATCATACGTTTCCTTTCAGCATAAAATATAGCGTGTTATTTACATATATATAATATATATATATATATATATATATATATATATATATATATATATATATATATATATATATATATATATATATATATATATATATACACACACACAACCACAGTGGAATGGGAACTGTCATCAACTATCTACTAATCTACTAATCAGTTTGGTGAAGCTGGTAGACTGGTAGCCAAGACTACCTGATCCAGTACATCAACACATTGCACCATCATTATGAAAGTGCTCATCAATTCACCCCTTTCATTCATCATCTGCAGTCCTGTGAAATTTATGATTTCGGTATATTCCGATAAACAACGAAGTTTGTTCTTGAATTTTGGCTAGTTCTTGAATTTTGGCTAGTTTGTTCTTGAATTAGTATTAGTTTGTTCTTTCATGTGCTTGTTTATTCTTTTAAAATTTAGTGAATCATATTACTTTTTTTACTTTTTATCAAAATTCTAATTATATTTCTTAACATTCAGGATGAATGTACATATTTCCTCATTTTCTTTCATTCTTCTGCATTGGGGAATTATTGTGCAATAACTGTTTTGTCTACTAATAGTTTGCATTAATAATTACTAACTCACTAATAATTAATGTGCAGTATAAAATATAGTGCACTATTAATTGGGGTGCAATAATGTTCTGTGCACTAAAAGCTTACAAATAATTTCTGTGCATAAATAATTTCATTGAACAAATAATTACATTTAACAAACAATTACCGTGCACTGATAATTAACTTTCATTAATAATTACTGCGCATTAAAAATAAATGTGATCACAAATTACTATGCATGAATCATTTTTGCCGTATATATATTCTTGTGGAAAAAATATTTAGATTTGCACTAATAATTACTGTGCAATAATAATTCGCAATAATAATTAATGTGCAATAATAATTCTTGTGCACTTCTTGATGCCTCTCGATCACAAAATATTTTGATTCTGCAACTGAATGAAGCGAACATTTAGTTTTACAATGGTTTTCTGATTTTATTTAAACAAAATTACGAGTAATTAATAAACAAAATTCTCGATATATATATATATATATATATATATATATATATATATATATATATATATATATATATATATATATATATATATATATGCAGAATAACCACATATGAAAAATAGAAAATGCTTAACGCGTTTTCGGCTAATTCGCCTTCATCAGAGCAAAGTAGCTCTGATGCTACTTTGCTCTACTTTGCTCTGATGAAGGCGAATTAGCCGAAAACGCGTTAAGCATTTTCTATTTTTCATATGTGGTTATTCTGCATACTTGGATCAGTGTTTTTGTGATCATTGTTGCATATATATATATATATATATATATATATATATATATATATATATATATATATATATATATATATATATATATATATATATATATATATATACACGTGTCGGATTTAATCTTGTTTCTTTTTTTAAATATTTTTTTATACCTAAGGTCTTTCTTCGAATATACTTTTATCTTCTATAAATCTCGCAGAGATAATAATTAGTCTAAAATTTGCAGCAGCTAATCAATAGTTTATCTCGTGGAAATACTAGTGATTAAATGTTATTTCTTAAAATTCTTATTTGTTAAAAAAAAAACCTGTTTTCGTAGTGCCTATGTTATAGGGTACAGAGAATTAAATTGATGCACACCTCTCGAAAACGACCCCTAAAGTTACGTAGACACAGATAGGTGGGTAAAACCAACACATATACACACATATGTGCGTACATACCCACTCCACCCACTATATATTCACATATACATACACACGCGCCATAAATACACATAGTTATATACTAGCAAACACCCACAGAGACGCCCACACTCATGAACTAGGAAACGCAGACATACACTGTTATACACACATACACATATACAGACACACAATCATACATATACAGACACACAATCATACAGGTGCACACCGCACAATCAAGCCATGTTATCTGTACTAATCTGGCGGTCACTGTGCGAGGCAGCTAGCTAGCTAGCTAGCTCCAGCTGCCACAGGCTGAAGACTTGAGTTAACCTGTAAAACACTCTACGGTACCTGATCTCCACGATTCACTCTCCGTCTACCTTCGGCCGCTCTAATGCGGTAAAATAAAAAATTCGCTTTAAGAAATTGTATTTTCCGCGAGTGCATGTGTATCAGATTTTTTTAAACACTTGGTTTCTCGGCATCTCCACCGCCGTCTCTCTCACGCTATATACGAAATATGAATTATTATACAATAATAAGCTCAAACTGTAGACAGACTTACATTCAAGATTATATATTCAGAAATGCAAAGCGAAATAATGACAGCAGTTCAAATTACGCCACACGGACCTAAATATTTTAAATACTGCCCCGCAGACCCAAAACTCATCCAAGAAAACTAGTGTGATATGCACATTGTCTTGAAGGAGAATTGCAGTTTCTTCTCTCCCGTCCGACGCTTAGAGACGGAAATTTTCAGATATTTTCTCTATTCTAAGAAAATTGAAAAATTGTCAACCTCTCCGGGAAAATTTGTTTTAGACAAATTTTCACTGTGAAAAACAAATCCAAATCATTAATCAATAAAGAAATAAGGTCTTAAAATGAATGAAAATCCTTGAAAATCCTGTATCAAGGTATTAAACCCCAAACATAATTAATATTTAATACATTTGATCTGATAACACCAAAAATTGTAACAGTCGCCCCCTGCCCCCCAAACCAGCAGATTCTCAAAGTATACTTAATTTATACATTCTAGCCCTAATATACATGTTACCATAATCTGCATGAAAACAACAATATGATAAGCCGTAATATACATGTTTTATAATATACATATTACTATATTATATACATGAAACATACAGAACGAATATTCACAATAACGGGGGCTCAAGATGACCAGACCACATATCAAGAGAAATGACAATGTTTCGGTCCGTCGTGGACCATACACGACATTATAATGGTCCAGGACGGACCGAAACTGGTTTCTTCCATATTTTCATGTTTGGTTTGGTCATCATAAAATTTACACGTTATCATAATATACATATTGTCATAATATACATATTTGCAAAATATACGTGATAACTATAATATACATGATTGATTACTTTAAAAAAAATTAAACTTTCACATATTTTAAATAAAAAAAATATTTAAACTTTAGACAATGAGTCTTTTTAGATTTAGAAATATTGTCATCAATAATATTTGGTGAATATTTTAACTGAAGGTTATTGATGGTGTCTCGCTCTATGAATACAGTACTGAATATGTTTTTTTTATATATTTTGAATATTAAAATGAATAAAGTTTTAAATTAGGTAGACAATTCCATTAAAAACACTATCTCTGATCTTCAAGATTAATGTGAACAAAAAATAACTTGAAAGCATTTCATTGTTAATATTATTTTATAGAAAGGAATCGTGAATTTATACAGCCAATTTTGTTCATAAAATCATATGTTCAGAATCGTTTGTTTCACTGTGGCAAAGTTAAGCAAATCTGTGTTCAGACACACACACACACACACACACACACACACACACACACACACACACACACACACACACACACACTCTCTCTCTCTCTCTCTCTCTCTCTCTCTCTCTCTCTCTCTCTCTCTCTCTCTCTCTCTCTCTCTCTCTCTCTCTCTCTCTCTCGTTCTATACCTGATTGTATCTATTCAAGAGATCATATAGTAGCTTAAAAAGGTGAATTTTTAAACCGAGATTTTTATCATAAATCGCGGAGAACTATAATTGATAAATCTTTGACAATTGTTAGGTCCCCATTTTACAATATAAGGAAAATTTTTACTTCAGAATATGTGAGTATTAACATGTCATGAAAACTTCCCTGAACGTTCTCATTTATATATATTATCAGGACTGCATATAAAATCATGTTTGACATAAATTGTATTATTACACTCACACACACACACACACACACACTCACACACACACTCACACACACACACACACTCACACACACACACACACACACACACACACACACACACACACACACACACACACACACACACACACACACACACACACACACACACACACACACTCACACACACACACACTCACACACACACTCACACACACACACACATATATTGCCACCTAAGTGTCTGTATTCAGTGAATTGTGTATACAAACAATGCACTTCCTATTATCAGAACGCTCATTTGAATCTCAGTTCTTTAAAAAAAAAAATATGCATTACGCTGTAAATGAATGATGCCTTGAGAATTACCACATCACCTGGGTGAACTTTGAGAAAACCCACACCACTTGGGGGGAGGCCTTGACCACACCATGTTGTTTGGGGGAAGCCTTGACCACACCATGCTGTTTGGGGAAGCCTTGACCACACCATGCTGTTTGGGGAGCTTTGACCACACCATGCTGTTTGGGGGAAGCCTTGACCACACCATGCTGTTTGGGGGAAGCCTTGACCACACCATGCTGTTTGGGGGAAGCCTTGACCACACCATGCTGTTTGGGGGAAGCCTTGACCACACCATGCTGTTTGGGGAGCTTTGACCACACCATGCTGTTTGGGGGAAGCCTTGACCACACCATGCTGTTTGGGGAAGCCTTGACCACACCATGCTGTTTGGGGGAAGCCTTGACCACACCATGCTGTTTGGGGGAAGCCTTGACCACACCATGCTGTTTGGGGGAAGCCTTGACCACACCATGTTGTTTGGGGGAAGCCTTGACCACACCATGCTGTTTGGGGGAAGCCTTGACCACACCATGCTGTTTGGGGGAAGCCTTGACCACACCATGCTGTTTGGGGAGCTTTGACCACACCATGCTCTTTGGGGGAAGCTTTGACCACATCATGCTGTTTGGGGAGCATTGACCACACCATGCTGTTTGGGGGAAGCCTTGACCACACCATGCTGTTTGGGGGAAGCCTTGACCACACCATGCTCTTTGGGGGAAGCTTTGACCACACCATGCTCTTTGGGGGAAGCTTTGACCACATCATGCTGTTTGGGGAGCATTGACCACACCATGCTGTTTGGGGGAAGCTTTGACCACACCATGCTGTTTGGGGAGCATTGACCACACCATGTTGTTTGGGGGAAGCCTTGACCACACCATGCTGTTTTGGGGAGCATTGACAACACCATGTTGTTTGGGAAGCCTTGACCACACCATGCTGTTTGGGGGAAGCCTTGACCACACCATGCTGTTTGGGGGGAGCCTTGACCACACCATGCTGTTTGGGGGAAGCCTTGACCACACCGTGCTGTTTGGGGGAAGCCTTGACCACACCATGCTGTTTGGGGGAAGCCTTGACCACACCATGCTGTTTGGGGGAAGCCTTGACCACACCATGCTGTTTGGGGGAAGCCTTGACCACACCATGCTGTTTGGGGGAAGCCTTGACCACACCATGCTGTTTGGGGGAAGCCTTGACCACACCATGCTGTTTGGGGGAAGCCTTGACCACACCATGCTGTTTGGGGGAAGCCTTGACCACACCATGCTGTTTGGGGGAAGCCTTGACCACACCATGCTGTTTGGGGGAAGCCTTGACCACACCATGCTGTTTGGGGGAAGCCTTGACCACACCATGCTGTTTGGGGGAAGCCTTGACCACACCATGCTGTTTGGGGTAAGCCTTGACCACACCATGCTGTTTGGGGGAAGCCTTGACCACACCATGCTGTTTGGGGGAAGCATTGACAACACCATGTTGTTTGGGAAGCCTTGACCACACCATGCTGTTTGGGGGAAGCCTTGACCACACCATGCTGTTTGGGGGAAGCCTTGACCACACCATGCTGTTTGGGGGAAGCCTTGACCACACCATGCTGTTTGGGGAAGCCTTCACAATGCCCTCACCACTTGTAGGAGACTTCATCCCACTACACCACTGGGTAAATCCCTGACCAAACCATTAGGAAGTCTTGACCAAAACACACAACAAAACCACAGGGGAATAGAGGGGATAGAATGACCCAATCTCCCGGAGGGATTGGTTAATTTACTTAAGAGCATTGGTTAATTTAACCACTTAAGAGCATTGGTTAATTTACTTAAGAGCATTGGTTAATTTAACCACTTAAGAGCATTGGTTAATTTACTTAAGAGCATTGGTTAATTTAACCACTTAAGAGCATTGGTTAATTTACTTAAGAGCATTGGTTAATTTAACCACTTAAGAGCATTGGTTAATTTAACCACTTAAGAGCATTGGTTAATTTAACCACTTAAGAGCATTGGTTAATTTAACCACTTAAGAGCATTGGTTAATTTAACCACTTAAGAGCATTGGTTAATTTAATTGTTACCTGGGAGAAAGTTATTATTAATTAGAAAAATTAAAGCACAACAAGTCCCTTGAACCAGGCGAAATATTTACAATGGTCCTTCATGTAAATATGAGCTGGGTGAGCCCCCCATGTCTTGTACATTACAAAAATATTAGAGTGGATCAGAGTGCATGAATAGTGGAAGATTACGAATGTAATACCAATCTTTAAGATGGGCGGTAACATTACCTGAATCACACTATCGACCAATTAGCCTAACGTTAATTTTCGGAAAATTGCTTGAATCGATTCTTGCAAGGTACTGAGCCCCGTCTAAGGCTAATTAAGAGGGAAGTGATGCTTATTATTGTGGGGGAGGAATTATCTCTAGTTAAATGAGGGTATGGTTAATTTAAAAGAAATGAAGGATTAAGTATAAGTGAAGCCAAGTCAGTGTGGGAAAATCGCTGTAACTTGAGTGATATGATAGATTAACTTTGGTATGTTTTGCATTTGTGAAGTATGTTGCGTTTGTCATCTTTCGCGTTGTTCTTTGGTGCGTGTTTCATGGTTGAACTCCAGCTCCTGGGACGAGGGGGGAGGGGAGTTATCAGGGAAAAGCGCCAAGCCATTAAACTATATAGCACTGGGAAGGGTCAGGATAAGAATTTGGGATGGGACGTAGGGGGAAGGAACGGTGCCCAACCACTTAGACGGTCGGAGATTGAACGCCGACCTGTATGAAGCGAGACCGTCGTTCTACCGTCCAGCCCAAGTGGCTGGGTGCTCTTTGGACGAGACTTTGTACTATCGGCTGCCCAGTGCAACGATTCCCAGCTCTCTGGTGAGCGGTGCATGTGAACTTCTCCTCCACCACCCACCTCTCTCGCTGTCTTCTGGCTCATTACCCAGGACACACACAGGCAATACCTGTAATTACATATCTTTGAGTAAACTGCTTTACTAATATCTGTGCGTTTCTACCCGTTTCTGTTCTTCGCTTGTTCATATAGCGAAGAGAGATTCAGTTCTCGTCGAATGAGCAGCAAGTAATTTATTCCTGGCAGGAACCTTGTGGGGGGAACTTTTGTTCAGTGTTCTGAATGAATCCTTCTCTAGGTTACGTCAGCCTGTTATGATACTGGTGAACTTTGCCCTTCCCGCTAATGTTAACTTGTTATTATGTTGTGACGGCAGGTGGGTTGGTGTTGTGTCTTCTTCCCAGGACCCCGGAGCCTCCGTCCGGTGTCCTTTGTATTGGTATCGAATTGTTGAGCCTCCTCCCTTCTTGACTGTGCTGTTCCACTGGTCTCCCCTTCAAGCTGTGCTGTTCCACTGGTCTCCCCTTCAAGCTGTACTGTTCCTCTGGTCTCCCCTTCAAGCTGTACTGTTCCACTGGTCTCCCCTTCAAGCTGTACTGTTCCTCTGGTCTCCCCTTCAAGCTGTACTATTCCACTGGTCTCCCCTTCAAGCTGTACTGTTCCTCTGGTCTCCCCTTCAAGCTGTACTGTTCCACTGGTCTCCCCTTCAAGCTGTACTGTTCCACTGGTCTCCCCTTCAAGCTGTGCTGTTCCACTGGTCTCCCCTTCAAGCTGTGCTGTTCCTCTGGTCTCCCCTTCAAGCTGTACTGTTCCACTGGTCTCCCCTTCAAGCTGTGCTGTTCCTCAGATTTTCTGTCTGCCAATCCCATCCTCATCACCTTGCAACTCACAGTACAACTCTCACAAGCTGTGTCAGGCCTCGTGTCGTGTTGACGTCGTCCTCTCCTCGCTACCTTAGCACCACGAACATGTGTGGTTGATATATGTCATAGGCAGCATGTGTCTTGAGACGTGAGATCCTGCGCTACTCCGTTTCTTCCTTCTTTCCTCCTCCTTTCTTTTTCTCTTCTTATTTATTGTTCGTTGTTCATACCTAGTTGCAGTGGCCTTGGTTCTGTGCCCTTAATTGTTCTTTAATTGCTGCTCCTACTTAGGTAAATTTGAAGGGGAATGACTTCAAACTTGTGGATCCCACCTTTGAAGTCGTTGTTGTGCTTGGTAAAATGATTACCGATTCCCCGTGTAATTTTTCCCCCACTCTAAGGAAACATATTTTTACGTACTTAAACCGTATTCAAGTTTCCAGCTCTCTTCAGTTATCCTTTTGTTCAGTTTATCAACGTCTTTGGGGATCACGATTGTTGTAATCAGGTTTTCTCTGCCTCTCTTCTTTTCCAGGAATGTGAGGTTAAGTTTTCTTGGTTTGTCTTCATATTAAGCTTCTCTAGTTCTGTTACCAGACGTCGCAAACCTCTGGACTTTCTCAAACTTCTTTTCGTAGTTTAATAGGTAAGAGGTTCTGGATTATGCTGCCTTTTCATACCGCTGTGGGCATTTATGTCACATAAAAATAACTAAAATATGTCTTGTACGGGTTCTTGAAGTCTGTTCTCACAATTAACAGCCTCGCATATGCTGCTGATGATATCTTGTTAATATTCCTCCCTAGAATGGCTTCATGTAATATTCACCTCTGAGTTCCACTGTCCCTTCCGAGCTTAGGAACTTTTTAGGCTCTTCTCTTCCTTTGATCCCTTGTCTTAGGCCTCCATTTTATTGATTTCGATTAGCCACAAAATGGCCCTTTCCTGCGGCTTGTTCAGATCCCCCGTAGCATCTTCTTGCACGCCTCTACTTTCCTCTATGGGCCCCCTAACAGTTGGGTGGACAGCGCTTCGCATTCGTAGTCCTGAGGTTCCGAGTTCGATCCTCGGTGGAGGCAGAAACAAATGGGCAAAAATGTTTCTTTCACGCTGATGCCCCTGTTACCTTTCAGTAAATAGGTACCTGGGAGTTAGACAGTTGCTACGAGCTGCTTCCTGGGGAGTGTGTAACAAAAATGAGGCCTGGTCGAGGATCGGGCCGCAGGGGACGCTAAGCCCCGAAATCATCTCAAGATAACCTCACGATAACACCTCTTCTGTCCTACCTTTCCTCTTAGCAACGCAGGAATCTATTTCCTCCGCTAAGAAGTATGCGTGAGAGAAGAAAAGAGAATCTTTGGCCGTGTGGTTCGAGGACACTTATACTTGTAAGTGTGCGTTTAGGATAATGAGTCATTCAGTGTACAAGAAGACTTGAATTCGCAGCAGCATGGCTCAAGAAGAGGGTTGCTAGACTTCAACCCGGACAAATGCAAAACAATAAGAGCAAAAGTGGTGGTAAGAAGATTTCAGTGACATTATGGGTTAAGACGTAGTCAACTTCCAGAAACAGTAAACTACAGGGTGTTAAGAGTTACACCCTCCACAGGAAACACTCCCTGTAACGACAATGATACCAGTAGAAGAAAGGAAGCAACTAAATGAACTAGATGTAGCCACTGAAGAAACAGACAAGTTTTCTAAAGATTCTTAAACTGCCTAAGATTCTAAAGAAGGCTGAGGAAGCAGTGTGCATTCCCCTTTCTATATTGTTTAATTTGTCTCAGGAAATGGAAGAACTTTCAATCTGATGGAAAATGGCTAATTTGGTGCCAATATACAAAAGGGGAAAACGAAAAACTCCAAACTAGACCAGAATCACTGAAAAGCATCCCAGTAAAATACTACACTGATGCAAAGCAGGCTAGAAAAACAGAAAAACTACATTTTGTCTAAAAAAAAAAATAGCATGGTTTAAACAAAGGAAAATCCTGCTTACAAGTCTTATTGGAGTTTTACAAAGATATGAGAGAAATCAAATATGAGAGAGAGCGAAATGATAAGCAGACTGCATTCTCTCGGCAAGAGTTTTAAGGAGGGGGAGAGAGAGTCCCTCTCTATAAGGCAACAAAGTATTACAATGAGAGCGGAGGAATCTGAGTGGAAAGAGAGAGATAGGTTACGAGTGCAGTACCTGAAGGGTCGGTGTTAGGGCCCATCCTGTTTTTTAATATATGTCAACGACCTGACAGAGGAAACTGGTTCCTTCATATTCATGTTTGGGAACGATGCAGAACTAATGAGAAGAGCGAGGACAGAGAGAGAGAGAGAGAGAGAGAGAGAGAGAGAGAGAGAGAGAGAGAGAGAGAGAGAGAGAGAGAGAGAGAGAGAGAGAGAGAGATTGTGATACCTTGCAAACAGATCAGAAGTGGTCTGAAAAAAAAATAGTTCCTTGAATGTAACCCAGCCAGATGAAAAGTTATGAAGATTGGTACAGAGGCTAGAAGACTTGTACCGCATTCCAGGCTGTAGGGAAGACATTCTTGCACCAGGAAAGGAGAAAGACCTGGGAGTTAACATAATCTAATACCAGAAGCACACACACACACTAACAGGATAACGTCAGTATCGGGGGACATCCACCCCCACCATTCTGTTCAGCTTTCATGTTCTGGGACAAACGAATTTCCGGTCTTCCTATGGGTCTTTCCGGAACCACTTTTGTATATGCAGCCCCGCCTGGAACCCTCACCTGAAAAAGACAAGTTAAAACTAATAAAAGGT